TTTTTTATTAAATAGTTATGTGTTTTACTTCCGTAGTGAACATATAAAAGAAATCAAGAAGGAAAATCCTCGTCTATCAAGACATAATGTGGATCGAATTCATAATGAAAGATTTCAACTATGGTTTAGAAATCATGTAAGTATCAACTAGCTAAAATATTTGCTCATATATTACTATATATTACTATATAGGTAATTATAACTTTTAGATCACATCTTTATTTTTGAATGCTAGGTCGAGAAGATGCATATGGCTAGTGAAAAAATATCCAAGGATATTCAAACTTTAGCTATTGGCCCATTAATACAAGCAAAAAGAATGACTAGCTATATATGTGATGGAGTTAGATACTTAACAGAGTCTCGTGATGTTAAGAGAAAAACTTAAAATAGTGGTATTATGTTAAAGGCTATCACTCAAAGTTATGCAGGCACAAAAGATAAAAAATCCCATATTGGCAGAGGTTTCTTTTTATGGAATCCTCACAGACATAATTGAGTTATATTATTCCAAGAATCTCAAGTTTGTATTGTTTAAATGTAAATGGGTGAACAATAGCAAGGGGCTTATTGAGAAAGATGATTATGGATTTACTCTTGTGAATTTTAATCATGTACTCTATACAAGACATCAGTTATCAGATGAACCATTCATCTTTGCTTCTCAAGCTCAACAAGTGTTTTATGTCGATCATCCTATGGAAAGGAGTGACGAATGGTTGTTAAACTTAAGCCAAGAGGTTTTTATGATTTAGGTGATGACACACCAACAATTGAGCATAAGGAAGGACATATGGAGTTGTGGCCTGAACAACAATTGGATGACACAATATTTGAAACTGAAGAAGACATTGAATGGGTTAGAGAAGGAGTACCAGGATTAAAAATTGACCCAGAAACTTTGGAAAGAAATGAAGCATATGATGAAGATGACAACATATTTTAATTTTGTTACTATAGTAGTATAATCACTATTTCAGTACAATTGATTTTTGAACAACAATGACTTTGATGTTTTTACTCTTCATTCAACTGTTAAAATCACATATGTTTATATATCTTATTATTTGACATGATAGTTAGATATTATTTTATACTTTTATATAGTAGAAACTACTTTAAATTTGGCAGGATTCATAGCTGCTGAGGAACTTTGTTGAAATGGCAAGAAAAGACAGAGAAATTCTAGTCAAGGTGAGCTTTTATATGATTCTTCGGAGCAACCAAAACAAAAAATCGGAAGTATGTCAATGCCTCAACCGCCCCAAAATTGGCCACAAAATGAAAGAGATGAATCACATGATACAAAAAATCTTCCAGGTATTAAATATCATGATATTTATTCTTCCTTTCATAGTATAAAGTAGTTAGATAATTTTTATATAAATAATAAATTTGCCTCTTTTTATCTTTGATTATTTATAGATTCTAATGAGAGCGAAGAGCAATCTAGGTGAACTAGGGGTCCCACTATGATGCACTCGGGATGGGGGAAAGATGGTGGAAATATACATATTAAATTGAATGAACATGGTCAAGTTATTGGGTCAGAAGGAACTAGATTGAATTCAAAACTTGGTGTGCTAGCACGAAATGGCATCTTAGCGCCACTGAATCATAAAGATTGGAGGCATGTACCTAGTATGTACAAGGATAGAATATGGGCTCATATCAAGGTTCTTAGTATACACAGAACCTATATACTAAGATGTTTTTGTTTTTTATATTTTATTTTATAAATTGAGTTGTGTATTAAATATATGTACATGAAAATACTTGACGCAACTGATGACATGAAGCGCATACTGATGATGTCATTTGGATCTAAATGGAAAGAATCAAAACATGAAGCAAAAATCATTGGATATGACCCATATAACACAGATATTGAGCGTTTAGCTCATTGTCCAGATAGAGTTGAAGAAGATCAGTGACGTTCATTAGTTCATTATTGGAGCTCAAAAGAAGCAAAGGTATGTGCTAGATTTCTATTTCTGCATTTGCTCTACTAAATGAGAATTTAATAGAAGTTGTCATAAATTATTAAAGTTGTGTTTTCCCTGATTATACTTCTTATTGTAGAACAAGTAGAAGTTCATTCTGATTTGTCCCTTTCTTCTAATTGGCAGAAATAATGTTGTTGTACATGTCCAGTTTGCCAACCTGCACAAAATGTTCTTGTATAGAAATTTATTGCACTTTGTGAAACTCAACTATGCTAC